ATAATTTTTAAAAATTCAGGTAAGAAGCTTAACTCCGTTGCCTTAACTCTTCACTCGGGGCCATGGCCTCCTGGGCTCCTGTTATACGATACTGTTGTGGGACTCATAAAACAAGTGTAATATAATCTGTTTCGTAAGGATTAATCTCTACTGTTATTTTTTACTACCTGTTACCCGCGACTTCGCCCGCTTTTAATTTAAGATTTTAATTTTTTCGAGCGGAACCCAAAGTCTTTTTCTAAAATAAAAGTAGGCTAAGTTTTAAAATTTTTGTCTGTCTTTCTGTCTGTCTGTCTGTTTGTTCCCTCTAGTCTCCGAAACGGCTGAACCGAATTTGACGTGACTTTCACTAGCAGATAGCTGATGTTATAAGGAGTAATTAAGGCTACTTTTAATTTTGAAAAAGAATTAGGGCTCCGCGCAAAAAAATTAAAACACATGAAATCCAATCGTAATAAATTAAACGCGGGCGAAGTCGCGGGGAACAGCTAGACGTATTTAAATTAATTTTACAGTGTCCAATACATAACAATATGAACTGTTTCTCTCCATTTCTGTCTATTTCTGTAGGTATCACTTTCTTACCTATTCATACATTCAGTATACTCGTAGCGGCAAGATAATGACAGGCTCTGAAATATTTCATTTTTTCCAGGGTAACATCGTATCTGTGGCTTTTTTTGTTAGATCATTAGATATTGGTTGCAGTTGTCCACACGCTGCAGTAGCGACACACCATTTAGCTGCGAGGTGGGGTCATTCGGTACTCAAATATTATGCATCCAAAAATATACTAATACCTCATAACTTTAATTATTATTTAAAGTTACATTTTAAAAACATTTATATACAGTCAAATCTGGCAACTTTACCAATTAAAGTTAACTTTGCCATCAGGGATGTACAGGTATGTACAAAATTACGATCAACACGGACAACGTAACATTTTCTGAGATACCTGTGAAATTATTGGATGAAAATTTCATAATAATTTTTTTTTAATTTGTGAAACAGTGGTGTTACTTAATTCTAAACTCGCCAAACTTTTACGTTTGATGGCGAGAGGCGCTCTTTTACAAAGCAATGAACCACCTTATGTACTACTAATATTAGACACAATGATACACAATTATATAACATAGTAATATATAAACCTATGACATCTTAATGTTATGTTAACTATATATCTTTATATACATGTGACTTTAATTATATGAATTAAATATCTAGTACTTATATATTATATTGTAATGTTTTAATCTAATACAATGTGTCTCGTATATATAGTTCTTTTAACAATCCTGTATAATGTTTTTCAATTTTTTCTTAAGTGATCCTATACTAATTTTTACTTTTTCTCTTAGTAGATCAATTTACTTAGATGTTCTCTTACCATAATAGTTCGTTATTTTTGGTAGAACCAGTTTGTTTTCTCTAACCCTATGTGTGTTGTCCTTGTTTTTAACATTCACTTTATATTTCTCATTATAATAATATTCCAGACCTATCAAATATTCTACTTTTTTATCTATGGGTATTATTTTACAAATGGAAAACAACTTATCATAGTCTTTGTTGCAATTATCTTTAACATTTTTACTAACTAAAAACTTCATCAGTCTTATTTGTATGTCTTTGATATCTCTTAGATATGTAATAAAGGTTTGCCCGTATACAAGGAGTCCATAACTCATTAGCGAGTCAGCAAGTGCAAAATATACTATTTTTAACGTTTTTTTGTTCAATACATTTTTTAATTGGTAAAACCTACTTCACAGATCTTAGCCTATTGCAAATGATTGTTTTCGATATGGCAACAAACGAGTTAATTTTGGCATTTTATTTCTACGTGGATTGTGCCGGCGTCGTAACTAGGCTTGCCAACCGTCCCAGATTTTCCGGGACGTCCCGCTTATGGGCCATTTTGGACCGTCCCGCCGTAACCCCTTGCGGGACGCCGCTTGTCCCGGAAATCAGTGATTATATGATATTAGTATCTATCTCGTACCAACTACACCTCAGCCGTAGCTTCGATACCACTTTCAAATGCATCAGCAGAGAAAGTGTTTTCTCTCTGTGGAAATGCTTGGACAGACAGCAGAAATAAGCTGTTTGTTGACCACGTCAAGGCTAAACTACAAATTAATATTAATTTTGATCAAAAATGCAGTGAATTTTATAACCAATGTGTTTTTTTTTCATAACCAATTCATATGTGGTGTGTTGTGTCCCGCGTAATATACCCAAGTCCCGGATGTCGAGCTGGGTAACTCCGGAAATGCTTTTTTTGGAGTTGACAAGCCTAGTCGTAACCTCTTTTTGAAGTGCTCCAGAACTTTTGTTGAGTTTGTTTAAAATACTGAATGTAGGTATCTATATTTTTGTAGTAACGTAATATTAATGGTTAGGAAGTGTTATATTTAGTTTTTTATCATGACATGACATTTATCTATTAAACTAACATGGCAAAGTTACCATACTAGCGATGCCGCGATGTGACGCTTACTTTGCCATGTTTTGCTACAACCAATTACACTTTCAACCTATATTTTAAATCGATTACGAAAGATTTCAAGTAGGCGTGACATTCTATGTATGTATGATTTTACCGAATGAGTTGTCAATCGTGAATTTTATCAAAAGTAAAGGAAAAGAAAAGAGAAACCTATATTATTTTACTGCGTTGTCAGGTATTAATATTATTATTACTAGTTAGTATTTTTCATATTTTCAACTTAGTGTTTCATATTAATTTGCACCCAAAGAACAGTGTCATTTTAATGATTATGAAGGTTTTTCTAATGTAGGAAAATAATATTTAGTTTGTTTAAAATGATAATGATAACTAATAAAAAAACAATACTTGTTAAAAATGATTGTGACAAGCTTTATTTTGATCTAACTATAATTAATTTAAGTTTATTATAGCACCAAGTTGATTTTTAATTTTATAAGAGAGTGTTTTTGTTTGATATTTCAGGTTTTTAGCTAAGAAATTATTGTGACAAGATATAAATAAAAAATAATTGTGCGTAATTGTGTACACGGAGACTAGCCATCGGCGCAGGACAGGATTATCGTGCCCAAGTGTATGCGCAAGCACAGGTGCCCTCTCTATTCCCTCGCTCTCATAGTCCGATGGGACGGTAAACCGACACGACCGGAGAGAGATCAGGCACAGGACCAATGGCTTTACGTGCTTTCCGAGGCACGGGGGTGAGACACCGCCAACTTCCTGACTCCGGGCAGCTACTGGGAGTTTCTTGACGGAAAAGCTCAATAACTGATTTTTTTGGGAATCGAACCCGGGACCTCATCAGCAGTCGCACTATTACAACCACTAGACCAACGAGTAGCTTAGTTACGCAAAAAACGTTACAAGGAAATACGAAATTTTTTTAATACCGTACTAAATTTCTTCACTACGTTCTAAAGAAGTTTTACTTCAAAAATTAAGTAAAGTACGTAGTATAAAGGATTTTTGGCAATCTTGATACATATTTTCAAGTTTGTATGAAGAATTTAATAACATGTGGGCAATTTTGCCAAGTGCATAAACTTTGTTACTTGCAATGCATTAGAGGAGCAATTGAGTGTTGTGTATTATATTACGAGTGTGTGGCAAACTTACCTTCATCCTTGTAGATAAATCCTATTATTTTTATTAAAAACCCCGATGGCAAAGTTGCCACAAAGGTAGGTTAACTTTGCTATTTATTATTTTTGAGTATTTTGTGTATTTAATGTTAGTTTTTTTTTAAATCACTAATGAACACTAAATCTAACAAGAATTTTATAGTGTCATATTTAATATTGAGGCCCAGTCTGAAAGTAACTTTTAGGTTGAAAAAAATATTTTGTATATTTTTTGTGAACCAGTTACAACTCTGACTAACATATTAAATATTATAGACACAGATAAAATAATTTGATAGAAATAAACTTATAGGTATATTTTTTACGTATAAAAATTGAAGAGGATGAAGAACGAAGACAAACATAATTTTTTTAAGTTATTGATTTATGAATATGATGCATATTAAGGATAAAATATGAAAGAATTTAATTTTGTTAGAAAAACGAATGGGTATAATATAAAACAGAGTATAAATTAAGTATATCAAAAACATTGTGAAATTTATAAATATTGATAGATAACATAATAAAAATAAAAGGCAATTATTCCCGAAGGGGGAGGACGAGATCCAGGAGTTGATGAGGATGACAAAAAGGTAGATAAGATATGCTTAGTTACTTAGATAACTTAATGCTAAAATAATATCAACTCTCACAGAAATATTTCAAAACGACGAACGACGGTTGTTCATTATATTATTTTACTTCCTTTTCAATCTGCCAAGAGCTCCGAAGAGGACTTAAAAAGAAAGAAAAGTAAGGAATCCCGCCTTCTATTTAAGTGTTCTCATTGTTACACGTGCTATACGAACTAACTTTTGAAATATCTGTAATATTAACTTAAGCTTGTCCTTCAAAAATAATTTTTAGTAAGGATTTGTATTATAGTATACTATATTATGTAATATTTAAATGTGTAGTTTTATTTGTTTGTACAACAAAAAATTATGAATTTCAATTGCCTGCCATCAAACAGTAAGAATATATGACAAATTTGATTTTGTTTTATGTAATTTAAGTAAAGCATACTGTGAAATCGTGTAAGTTTCCAGTTAATTGCCGTCTAGTAGCAAAAAAATTCTCGTCCCGAGAAGGAAATCCGGTCATTCCCGGAAAAAGTAATAAATCTTGCTTGGCCGCAGATAGAGAGATCTGGCGGGCGAGGCGGTGTCCGGGAGGTAGGGTGTACGTACAGGAGCAAAACTGTGCAATGTAGAGTGGAACTGTACCAGTCCCGGGTGTAAGGGACAGATCAATAGGCAAGCGTGCTCTCCCGGAGTTGCCTCGAGCGTCGCGCACTCGTGTATCGGTCGTCGACTAGTTAACACGGCTTGGCTTCACTTCAATCGCATCAATTTACGAATATGGAGGTAAGTGCACATTAAAACTATTTCGAAGATTACAACCGACAATTGTAACTTATTATAATACAATTACATGCTTGATTGTTTTAATGTTATGGCGCCGTTTCAATGTTATTTACTAAACATTTTACGCGTTTTTGCAATTATTTTGATAATTTTTGACAATGTAACTTTAAAATGTTATTTTATGTCTGCAATTTTATTTATCTAATAACTATAATGATTTGATTACTAAATAAAATATTAAGAAATATAAACAAATTAAGGTCTCAATATATTATTCTACAATCATTCTTTTTTTTTTCAAAATTATTTTCTGTTGTCTTCATCGAATAATATTTTTGTTGTGTTTTAATTTAAGTAATTTAATATGGAGTTGTCAGATAGTTTTGGAACTTCTCTGTACGACTAAACAGGGTTGAAAGAATTTCACATATCCGTGTGTGCTGTGTGTGTGATCTCTTGTCATCCTACAGAAATATTGTGTCGGTTTCCGTAACCTATGCAATTTAATGCGTCCCGCTCTAACTCGCTAGTTGTTAATAGATCTACCATATGTAGGTGCTTTAATGGGACTCTTTGTGGAATGCGGCCACAACGAGCTTTTTTTGTTTTGGCTTGCTGGGGTAAATCAATACTCGTGCCACGGGAGTGATGGAGATGCAAACTAGTGTTGTATTACGTATTCGCTTTGTGGCCTTTGTTTCTTTACAGCCAGAGGTCTTTGTTCGTATTATAGGTCAGGGACGTAATTCCGCGTCGAGAGTGCGACACTTAACATGGTTTTTTAGTGATGTTCACTACATTTGTTTTAGCAAATACTCTGACATAAATTATTTATTTGGATAATAAAACTATACAATTATTATTATATATAAAATATGTAAAAAAGAAATGGAGAAAAGTCCATAAAAATTATCCCTAAAAGAGTGTTCCACCCGGATGCGGTCATTAAGCATTTCCTGTGCATAGCACATAAATAACATTTTCACGAGACATGGTTATCAAAGATAAGTGACCCGCGCTACACGTCGAGTTTATTTTAGTATCGAGTCCGTAACTATGAAACAATAAAGTCGTTGACTGAGCAGTATCTTTGCGCATGCACTAATTAGTTATCATATTTGTTTTATATGTATAACAACAAGTATATCCTATGAGTTAATTTTATGTGATCTCCACATCATCACCATTCCAGCCCTTTGCTAGCCCGCTGCTGAATATAGGCCCCCTCCAAGGAATACCATAAAACACGATCCTGAGCTATTTGTATCCATCGACTGCCTTTATATCACTAGGTCGTCACTTCATTTAGAAGGTTAAGAGAGACACTTTCCCTATCGGTACGAGCTTACGACGGTCTCGATAACCTTTCTTCCCCATCGGTTGTCGGTTCTTCGGACATTTTTAAGAAATATTATTTTGTGTTCACTTTCTCTTCATTTATAGCTCACATAATACAAAATTTTAGATGCTTTGAGCTAGAGCTTGAGAGCTCTTTAGGCTTGTGTGCTATCACAGTTCTCTCTGATCAAAATATATGCTCAGTCTTGGAATTGCATAAACAAGCCCACATAACACTTCCACAACTCCCATATTATTATAGGCCTGTATTACCAACTTATGTGATTTTGTAATTTAAATATTTAAAAATAATTTACAATTTTAGGTATGACGTTTTTCTTGCTTCAGGGTCACTTATCAAGCTAGTTCCACGTCTATTGTGTCCTGGTCTAAACAAATCTATCTCAAAACCAAAAAAATATATTTAAGTTTGTCACTTTTACATCACTTTTTTTTCTTAACCTATATAATGAGATAGAGCTGTGTTAGAATGCCGTCATAAGTAAAAAAGGCATATCTACAATTTTATATAAAATCAAGTTACTTACGAGTATTTATATAGACCCTTTTTACTGGAAAAGAGGCATTCTATCTTAGTCCTCACGGCTGACAACGCATCTGCATTTTAATTCGCAAACGAAGATAGATGTAGATATCTATGGGCCACAGCATTCACTTACCATCAGGTGGACTGTGTGCTCGTTTGTCACCCTAATTGTATAAAAAAGTCATTAAAAACAAGAGTAACTGCCAGTATTTTTACTAAATTAATAGCAACTTAAATTAAAAAATTAAATGATTTGTGTTGGTTGGACCTTTTTAGACGCACAAACGTAAATTTCAGAAAAGAAGCAGATGCATGCACCCTTTTTAATTAAATCATTATAACTTAAGTGTAAAGAAAGCAAATCACATGAACATAATACAAAATCTTATTAATTTTTTAATAAATTTGTTCCTGGCGGGCGTTTGCCTTTTCATAATACACCTTTGTTCACTTCCTTGCTACATATTTATGAATTTACTAATTTAAAGCTTTAGCGAAATTTCTGACGACAAAGTTTACACGCTAAGCGAACTTAATTGTTTATATATTTTATCAATCATGAAGCGTTTAATTTTTAATGGCCGCCTGTACAACGTTTCTAAATCCCATTTAAGTTTGAATAAACGCTTTCCCATACCTCAAGATGTTTAATGGAATATGATTAAATAGGTATAAAGATTAGACTTGCAACGAATAGTATATTCGGCCACACGCCGAATACCGAATATTCTGCCGAATAGCTCAATATTAGGCAAAAGTATTCGACCGGAAAGGAAGTAGTGTTTATTCTTCACAGCGTCTATTCTCTGAAGCTGGGATTGTCTACGAGAAGAAAAGGAATGAACTATTGCCTGAAAATGAAGAAAAATCGTCTTTCTCCACCATTACCTTCCACTTTAATTACGATAGTTATATAGATATTTGTGTTATACATGGACCCTTTTGACTACTGACAGGCTTTTCGCCTTTGTAAACCGTCTTCACCGTCGCACAAAGTACTAACAGTATGGTATCTGTTAAGAGCTGAAGCGATCACGTTTGATAAAATTAAATTACAAAATATGTACATTTAAAAATAATGTTACAAATCTATATAATATTATACTTTGAAGTGGTCGCGATATGACGCATTGAACCGAAGGTTAAGACTATTATAAAAATACAACTACGGAGTTAGCTAAGTTGATTTTACAAGTCTGAAGTCAATCAATAATGCTACTAGAAAACTATAAAAAATAAATGAGAATTGTAAATTTTAACGTTAAGTTTGTTCCCAACGTTTAATATTAGTGTTAACGGTTCAAAATGTCAGCTGAGCCAGAGCTAACTCCGTTGACAAGTGACATCTTATTCACATTATGTGACAGAGATAAAACTACAAAGTCGAAAGTAGCTGATTATCGCCATGTTTCTTTTTAGAACGAAGTTCCTTATCGGGCGGTACGGGTTTGGCGGATGGGAGCTAGGCGGCAAAAAGTGTAAGATTTTTTCGTCACTACCCTTTCTGTGATAGTGTAGACGGCCTTGGCGGCGAAATAACGAAGTGAGATGGAATAATATCCATCTCCCTCGCACTTTTTTTATCTTGCCATGAAAGAAATATTTTTTTTTATATCAAATGACGCCCAATTTTAATAGACGCTAGTAATTAATTTATTTGTATTTGTTAATCAATAATATAATACCGACGTTTATCAATAATAATATACTACGCAAGGAACTTCGTTCCAACCGAGCGTTCCACGACACTCACACATTTTTTTACATATAAATGTAATATTAATGCGATTAGTCTAATAAAATAAAATATAATGTAAGTCGTCCATAACGCCGAATTATCCTATACTAGAACTTAATATACCTTTTTTTAAAATCCCTATTTAAATAGAACTTTTTCAAACAAACAATATAAATGCGACGGCTCCGTACCACAGTGGCTTAGTAAGGAGTTGCAGCGCTAAGAGCTGCGGGTTCGAATCCCGCACGGAAGAAGTATTTGTATGACCTATAAATAATTGTTCCGGGTCTGGATGTTTGTCCCTGTGAAATTTCTATATATAGACTGCCCCCACGATATAGGAGTAAATCGTAGTGTGGAGATAAGGTTTTTAAAAAGAAATAACGTTAATAGACAGTACCCCTCACGCAGTATAATATCAATGTTTTAGGGGTTTTGAATTGTATTCACTGGAAGTGTCTTTGTCGGAAGTCCTGCGTTGAGCACTGAACTCACATGGCTCATCAATGAACTTTTTAGATGATGATATCGGTTTATTAGGTAGACAAGAAGTGTATATTTTTAAGTATTTTATAAATATTATATCCTGTAATAAATTGGCTTCCTTTATTACAGTTTACAGTGTAATCCGTCTCTTTATACATCATTAAAACATTTCTAATTCCTCAGATATACAGGTTTCCACAAGATATTCCACCGAGCAATAAACACTTTAAATTTCAGTGAACTAGTTCATGATTACTATGAAATTTAAATATCAGGGTGCCCGGCCACACATATTCACTTTAATAAATTTTAAATAAGTAATACTTAATGAAATTCTTACATTATTAAGTGGCGAAGCTTGCGAAATCACTTATTGATTTCACGATGTCTGTCCGTCTGTACGTCTGTCCGTCTGTCCCACGATTACCTCGAGAACGGTTTTGAATTTTCAAATTCTGTTTTCAGCAACCGATTACTGATCACCCTGGCATCTGAACCTCCTATTTTGAAACTGATTGCTCAACGGCAACCGTTAGAAACCGCTACAAAGCTGATTGCTTCGCCACTTTGCTATGCTGTTAGATTGCTAGGTTTATTATAATTAATTTACCACTAGTTCAGAAATTTCCTCTGTCCTGGGAAGAATAAACAAGAAATCCAGCGAGACTTTTATAAAAAGAGAACAGTTCATGTTATGTTACACAATTAACTAGAAAACTTATGCTATAAATGGTTTGGTAACGATCGTCTCTTTCCTAAGGGTTATTTTCTACACAAACAAGTAAAATTGAGGAATCTGTCTGTAATATTAAAATAACAGCCTATTATTAAGTTCAGGGGTTATTAGCATGCTATTTAGACATACGAGTAAGTAACCATTTTTAAAATTTTTGTCTGCCTGTCTGTCTGTCTGTTTGTTCCGGTTAATCTCCGAAACGGCTGGACCGATTTTGACGGGAGTTTCACTGCCAGATAGTTGATGTTATAAGGAGTAACTTAGGATAATTTTAGTTTAGAAAAATAATTAGGGTTCCGCGCAAACAAATTAAAACCCATGAAATCGCAGTAAATTCCACGCGGGTAAAGTCGCGGAGGACAGCTTGTTTACGAATAAATTTATAAAATAAATGATCTTTGATTACTTTAAATGTAAATAACGCAACACTAATAGATCCTATCCAGGCAAAACCAGAGCATTAGTCATCCTTAATATTAAAATGACCCTTTGAAATGATGAATGAATCTTTGTCTAATACAGTTTTTGAACTTGGCGGTGGACAAATTTTGTATATTTTCTGGGATTTTGTTGTAAAAGCGCGTACATTGCAACCCCAAGAATGAATTATTAACTTTGTGGAGTCGTGTAAGTGGTGCTACTAGATAGTCTGTTCGTAATATTTACAGAATAAATATAACTTATTTTTTTAAACAGCATATACATAACATTTTCGTAAATAGAGACCAATGTTAATGTATCATTAACCTTAAATGTTTGTTTATGAGACTCTTTAGGTTTTAAATAGTTTATTGTTCTTATGGCCCTCTTCTAAACTTGGGGTAGCTCGTATTCTTATCGCAAATGGTACAAAACAAAAATAAAAACAAAAATAAAACGGACTTACCGTTGGATGGGTTATAAAGTGGTTTCGACTGCCTTTGTGAAGAATTCCTTGTGGCAGGTTTCTATGCATATAATACAAGAATATGTTTTTCTGAGGATATTGGAATAAACGTTGGCATTTTGTGATTCAATCGTAAAAAGATAACACCAAACTGTAAACTCGATATCGTACGAAACTGCTAGGTTATTTATATTTTTATAGATACCAACCAAAGATGTTTTATAGGTCCAGATACCGTGTACGCGCGCCTAAAACGCTTCCATTTCAAAGGCACCAATATTGGCGTATTAGTTCGATCGTTCCGTCATTACGCCAGCGACGTTCGCTGTGAACATACGTCACGCACCGGTGTTTTTAATTTCGCAAAATGACTGTTTGTGCAGTGAAATCATTTAAAAATTACTCTTGGAAAAAAGATAAGGATAAGAACATAACTTTTCATAAGTAACTATACAATTTTATGGTGTATTTCTTTGTAAAAGAATACGAAAGCTAAATGTCAATACAAGTAATAATACTGCGCAATAATATTCGAGTGTTGCCTAGTCTATGAAATGCTTTTACCATTTTTTAATGTCATGATCAACCACAAAAGTTATCTGTATAGGGGTTTTAAACAGTCTAATTTTACAGATTTTACCCAACCTATAGAGTTAAACCGTTTTAAGGGTTAGGGTTGAACTACATCTGGTAGCATGAAATTGCACTTTCCTGTGCTTCTATCCTTTTTGGTCACTCAAAACCGTTATAGTAGTAACCGGTATAGTTCCACCCTCAAAAAGCCGATTGTAAACCGGTTTTAAAAGTTTATCTATCATTCTTGACAATTCATACTAATATAATATTATAAATGTGAAAGTGTGATTTTTTTGTTTATTTGTTTTTGTCCTTCCTTCACGCAGCAACGGAACGGAGCAATTTAAAAAAAAATTAAACATTTTGCTATCACTTGGCTGAAGTTTACGCTTAACCAAACTTACTTTTTTTCGTCATTTTACTTAGGATTGAAAAATAATTTAATGTCTTCGCAAAAAGCGGCAATATTTTGTGTTCTACAGTACAAAAGTGTAGTACTCTGTATATATTTAGTAATAATAGATTATAAATATATGTTACATACATAAATATCTACTGTGCTTTTTTATTTATTTTAACTGTTACATTAATTATAGGTTTTATTACATATCTTCAATATTTTAGTGCGATGTTCGTACCTACATAAAACACACATAAGCAACCATATCCCCATACATACACATACAAATGCACACGCCACGCACACACATTTTATACTCTTAGAATCAATAGGAATGAAACATAAAATCTCCCACATTTTTTGGGTAATCGATTCGCACTGTTATTACCGAAGTCACGCACATTAATGCAGCCATGGTGCGTAAGATATGCGCGTCACGTGGTACTCACGCAAACATGAATCAAAGACTTGCTTCACTATGAACGTTGCGGTGTGTTAGCAACACGGTATCTGGACCTATAAAACATCTTTGATACCAATTTATTTTTAGTCTGTTTACATCGCAAATGTAAACGGACATACTTCGTTAGCTGAAGTCCTGAGGTGTCGTTTCTTGAATTATCTAGAAGTAGAGATGTAGCAGTAAAGTCACGAAGATCCAAATTAAATGTTAAGGGAAATACGAGACGTATTATCAAGTTTCAAGAGTTACTAACTGGTAGGGTATGGTACTCCTTTATAGCCTGGGCGACCGTTTGCTTAGGTATCACTCTCTTAACTATTCCTTCTGCCAAGCAGTAGTGCGTGCGCCGTTGTTTCGGTCTTAAGGTAATACTGGGATAATCAGATTTCGAGACATGCCGTCTTAGTTCACAGGATGACAACGAATTTGCATTTTGGTTTCTGCTCGAGAATACATATAGGTGCCTATGGGCCGCTGCATTCACTCTCCTTAGGATTGATTGTGTGCTCGCTTGTCGCCCTAACTTTTATAAAAGAATCTGGAATAGTGTGTTTCTGTTTCATGTCTTTGTGTGAACAATAATTCAATTTCGTCTCAAAATCTTTTAATATAAAATATACTAAACCTAAATTTTCGTTTAATTAAGGGTGACTCGTAGCTAAAGCTGTGAACTATGATAGATGGGCCGTTGATGTTACTCTAGTGGATATTTATTATGGCGGTAACTTCTCTGGGCAAATGTCCGCTGAAAAAATTCTGCACGCTTTCGAATAAAATTATAGCATAGATTTTAATGAATAAATTAATGAATAAAGATTTATACGACGCACCCGTTTGTACTACACGCAAGTGTAAAACGTATTAGATTCTTATTATATCTATACATACAACTAAATAGCTGTTTCGACTAAGGAATCTAGTCACTGGTTGCACGCTTTACCATCAAGTAACATCGGCACATTACTTAATAGGGAAAGCTTGCGCATTGCCGTAGGAATCCGACTCGGAGCGGCGATTTGTCAACCCCATCAGTGTCCCTATGGTTGCAGCGTCGACAAATTTGGGCTCCAGGGACTTGCGTGTAAGAAAAGCGCTGGTAGGTTTTCACAACACAGTTCTTTGAACGATGTCATCCGAAGGGCTCTTGTCTTTATAAATGTTCCCTCGGTTTTAGAGCCTTGTGGAATATTTAGAGACGATGGCAAGAGACCCAACGGTATGACATTGGTCCCTTGGGAGAGAGGTACAAGCCCTAGTGTGGGATGCTACTTGCGTAGAAACTCTGGCGACCTGTCATCTCAAGGGTACCTCGTTTAAAGCCGAGGCGGCATCAGAGGCAGCTGAACTGAGTAAGTGGCGCAAATATGAGTCTCTGAGAGATGACTACATATTTGTGCCATTTGCTGTAGAGACTATCGGTCCGTGGGGTCCACGTGAGGTGAAGTTCCTAAAGGAACTCCATCCGCGGCTGGTCGTTGCTGCTGGTGATAAGAGGGCTGGTTCTTTCCTCGCTCTAAGGCTAAGTATAGCCATTCAGCGGGGAAACGCAGCCAGCGGTTTTGGCACGATACCGCGGGGAGTAGGACTATATGATAATTAAGTTTCTAGTTTTAGCTTTTTTTTATTATCATAGTTTTTAATATTGTAGATAAAATTAAGTATTATGTAGAATTTTATTCTATCTTAATAAATAAAATTGAAGTGTCTCTTTGTAATGTCAAAATTACAGTGTTTTACTAAATGCATACGAAAGTAACGGTACTTATAAAAAAATACACTTTTCAAAAATTTTGTGTCTGTCTGTCTGTTTATTCCGGCTAATCTCCGAAACGGCTGGACCGATTTTGACGGGACTTTCACTGGCAGATAGCTGATGTCATAAGGAGTAACTTGAACTGCTTTTATTTTAGAAAAATAATTAGGGTTCCTCGCAGAAATTTAAAACCCTAAATTACACTCGGGCAACAGCTAGTGTATACATATTTGTGAGCGATACATATAAAGTATTTTGTGATTATACTTACATAATATTATATTTCGCAGCATAAACACTGGTGGTGGATGGTGGCTGGTTTCCTCGTGCTGTCGGTGGCAATAGCATCAGCGGAGGGCGAAGTATGGGAAGAAAGTGACCACGAGATCCTCATTCGTAATGAGAGGGGTGCCAAAAATAGAGGTAAGCAATAAAATCGTTGTCTCGACCAAAGCGCATAATATACTGATTATTATATACAATAATAATAAATAATTATCAGAGACAGGCTAAGCTATATGCTTAAAGTATATAATATTATTCTTGAAGCATGTAGTTTCGCTATTTGCCGCAGCGTTGTAATACGGGGCAGTCTGTAATTGAAAAGCCCATAATTTGTCAAAGTACGCTGCCAATAATAGGTGTCTAGGGATTTTGACTTGAGAATCCAACTTCTCTAAATCAATTCCCATAAAATTAAGGTTACATTTGGGGGATGAAAAAGTTTATTTTTTTATTGCAGTTGAAGGCGAACTTTGAATTATCTCAAGTTTATCATTACGTTCACCCCCAAGCAATGCCCCTTACATTCATCGACTTCCTGTATCTTTTACTAGGTCGTCACTCCGTCTAGTTGGGGGGCACCTGACACTTCACTTGCCGGCATGAGGCTGCCACTCAAAACAAATCGGTGGTCGGTTCATCTCGTTTTCAGACAGGCCCTTTATGACTTCAGCTAACTGAACCATTGGCTTACTATGGGTCTACAGTTAATATTTTCATGACTATTTTAGTTTATCTATACAAATAAATAAAATTGAAGTGTAATGTGAAAATTACAGTTTTTTTACTAAATACATATGAAAGTAAATACGGTACTTATAACTAAAATACAATTTTTAAATTTTTTGTCTATCTGTCTGTTTGTTCCGGCTAATCTCCGAAACGGCTAGACCAATTTTGACGGGGCTTTCACTGGCAGATAGCTGATTTCATAAGGAGTAACTTAGGCTACTTTTATTTAAGAAATATAATTAGGTTTCCGCGCTAAAACATAAAAACTCTAACACGCGAGCAAAGTCGCAGGGAACAGCTAGTATATTAATATATTTTATATGAAACGTTTTTTTTATAGGATAGGGTGACAAACGAGCACGCAGTCCACCTGATGGTAAGTGGTTGCCGTGGTCTATAGACATCTACATTTATCCTCGTTTGCGATTGAAAATGCAGATGCGTTGTCACCCGTGAGGACTAAGATGGAGTGCCTCTATTCAGTAAAAAGGGTCTCCGGTTCTGTACACTCCCATACGAAACACAGCAGTGTCAAGCTGCCATTTTACGCTGGTATTCTGTGAGAGCATGGTCCTTCCCCGGTCGAGCCGACCCATTCGTGCTACAATTATACTACTAATATAGCTGCAGCATGGCTCTACCACGTACATTTAAACCACGTTGATAAATTGTATAAATTAAACCCCTACATAGCTCTACTATATAATACAAACACTCACGCCTGTTACCCAGAGGGGTAGGCAGAGAATACGGATTTCCGTTTGGCGCGATCTTGACACACTTCTCTCGCCTCCTTTACATCCATATATTTACGCATACACGCTCGTCGGTTAAGGGTCCTCTTAATCTGGCCCATTTTTAATGTATCGCCGATTTGGTCGATAAATCTTCGTCTAGGGCGTCCCTTCCCGACTTTGCCGTTCACTTCTGAAACATAAATTTGCTTTGTCACTCTTTCCTCGTTCATTCTTTCTACGTGACCAAACCACCGAGGCATTCCTTTTTTAATCCTAGTCACAACTTCATCTTGCAAACCACACTTTTGTCTTATCACATTAATACTCACCCTGTCATTCAGATTCAGCCCTAGCATACTCCGTAACGACCGCATTTCTACAGCCTATATTTTACTCTCATGCTTCTTCTGCCATATCCAACTTTCACTACCATACATTAAAGTAGGGACTAACACACCATTATGAATTGCCATACGTGCCTTCTTTGACACATTCTGACTCTTCATAATAGCGTGTAGAGCCCCATTAACTCTATTTCCTGTGTTCACTCGTCGTTCTATATCCTTGTCATATCTACCATCCCTGCTAAATAAACATCCCAAATATACAAACTCATCCACTTGCTCAATCAACTCCCCTTCTATTCTTATTTCACATAACGTTTAACATTCTTCTCTTTCAAAAACCATCACTTTCGTCTTACTTGCGTTCACTTTCATACCCCTTTCTTTTAATGACCAGTTCATTAAATTAACCATCGTTTGCAACTCGGCCGCCGACGATGCAAATATGACTTCATCATCGGCGTACAAAAGGCATTTGACAGTTAACTCACTCATTCTCAACCCACATTCTTCAACTTTCAAAGTTTGCAAACAACTGTCCATAAATAGGTTAAACAGCCACGGAGAAGCTACACAACCCTGTCTGACACCTTTTTGAATGCCAAACCAGTCCGAGTAGGCCCCGTTGATCCTGACACAAGCACTAGAGTCCCTATAAAGAGACTTTAATGCCTGTATCAGACCAGCGCTCAACCCAAATGAGGTCAGTGTTTGCCATAACACGTTCCTGTCCACTCTGTCATAAGCCTTTTCCAAGTCCATGAACGCACAAAAAAATTTTCTGGTTTTTGGCCAGGAATTTCTCCGCAATCATGCGCATGGAAAAGACTTCATCCATACACCCCATCCCCTTTCTAAATCCAGCTTGCACATCCCAAATTTTTCTATCAGTTTCTTCCATAACTCTTTCAATTAACACCTTAGCATACAGTTTTCCCACAATGCTAATCAAGCTGATACCACGGTAGTTTTTACAGTCCTGCTGCGACCCCTTTCCCTTATATATTGGGACTATAACGGCTTTGCACCAGTCTTCCGGTACGCGCTGCTGTTACCAACATAAATTAAACAAGGTGTACAGCAGGCCTGCAACCACACCCTCTCCAGCCCTTAGCATTTCGAGTGACACTCTATCATATCCGGCTGCCTTACCTGCTTTCATGCTTTTCATTGCTTTCACTATTTCATCTACACTTATCCGCCTACCTCTCTCCACTTCTTCCGCAATTTCTATTTCGCTTACTTCAGACGACACTTCACTCTTGAACACGCTTTCAAAGTATTCCTTCCATCTCTTTAAATTCGAAACTACATCATTCAGCATGCAACCATTTTTGTCTCGTATAGCATTCATTATAGGCTGTTTTGAATTTGCCCTGGCAGTTCTTACGAGGTACCAGAACATTTTAATATTTGCCTGGAAGTTATCAGATATTCTTCTATCATTCTTATTTATCCTTTCTTGCTTTTTCCTTTCAACAACTTCTTTTACTCTCTTATTTATACGTCTAAAGTCTGCCTTTTTTCTTTTTCTCGTCATTCATATCGCCAGAGTTACCAGTTTTGGTTGCTAGTAAATCTAGCCATGCCCTCTTCTTTGCTTCAACTTCCATCCGTACCTCATCATCTCACCACAACGTATTACTTTTCCTTTCATTCGTCCTCTTACTTACACCACATACTTCGGTGGCTGTATCCACCAAAACTTTCTTAACATTATTCCATACATTCTTCAAGTCTAAATCATTCATACAAAATTCATTCAACACACTTATATTTTTTCTCAGTCTGCATTTATACTTCTCTTTCACACCTTCATCTTGTAACCTCTCTATTCTTATACGCTGTAACGCAGTGGTAGACACAGATATCCGATGCCGCCAACCCTTGAATAGACCATTAATTCGACATAAGACCAAGTAATGATCTGTCCCTACGTTGGACCCCGGTAAACCCTTGTATCTACCACTGCGCTCCTCATTCTTCCATCCACAATTATGAAATCTATCATGCTTCTATCATCCCCTCTTTCCCATGTATACATGTGAATCCTCTTATGGCGAAAGAAAGTGTTCTTACTATTTTAAAATATTGTCTTCTTGTACCTAGATTTACATACTTACTCCGTTCGAGTCCAGTCTGGAAATGTTCGGATATTTTAAAAGATATTGATAATAATCTTAAAATAGCTATAGAAAAAATTCTAAATTTAACTTTAAATGGACTCAAGCTACTTTACCTATAAAATTTGGTGGCATTGGTGTGAGAAATCTTTCTAGCGTTGCATTGCCTGCTTTCCTTGCTTCCGTGCATAGTGTCAGTGACTTGTATAACATAATTTTAAATAATAAAGTAGACCTATGCTATGCTACGGAGGCAGGGCAGACATGGCAAACGCTCTGCCCTGGTAAAAACGTTCCACTGGAAGTTAACCAACAAAAACAGTGGGATATTCCGTTGGTACAGGGCGTGCAGAAAGATTTGTTTCATAATTTCCATAGTGACCAATATAAGGCACGCCTTCTAGCTGTTTCGACTAAGGAATCTAGTCACTGGTTACACGCTTTACCATCACGTAATCTCGGCACATTACTTGATGGGGAAAGCTTGCGCATTGCCGTAGGAATCCGACTGGGAGTGGCGATTTGTCAACCCCATCAGTGCCCCTGTGTTAGCAGCGTCGACAAGTTTAGGCTCCACGGACTTTCATGTAAGAAAAGCGCTGGTAGGTTTTCATGACACAGTTCTTTGAACGATGTCATTCGAAGGGCTCTTGTCTCTATAAATGTTCCCTCGGTTTTAGAGCTTTGTGGAATATTTAGAGACGATAGCAGGAGACCCGACGGTATGATATTGGTCCCTTGGGAGAGAGGTAAAGCCCTAGTGTGGGATGCTACGTGCGTAGACACTCTGGCGGCCTCTCATCTCAGGGGTACCTTGTTTAGAGCCGGGGTGGCACCAGAGGCAGCTGAACTGAGTAAGTGGTGCAAATATGAGTCTCTGAGAGATGACTACATATTTGTGCCATTTGCTGTAGGGAGTATCGGTACGTGGGGTCCACGTGCGGTGAAGTTCCTAAAGGAACTCCATCCGCGGCTGGTCGTTGCTGCTGGTGATAAGAGGGCTGGTTCTTTTCTCGATCAAAAGCTAAGTATAGCCATTCAGCGGGGAAACGCAGCCTGCGTTTTTGGCACGATACCTACCGTGGGGAGTAGGACTATATGATAATTAAGTTTCTAGTTTTAGTTTTTTTTATTATTATAGTTTTTAATATTGTAATTTTTTTTAGATAGTTTATATATAATAATAATAATAAATGTAATATCAT